ATCCCTTAGTTATTATAAGTCCAGTTATAGTTTGTGCTATGTTATTGTTTCAGGAGCTGTGTATTGAGAAAGCTAAATGGGATAATGAGCTGGAAGGTGACAAGAAAAAACGTTAGGAGAGATGGATAGAAGATTTAGAGAGAGTCAGGGATTTAGTTGTGGCGAGATGTGTCTATGGTAATTTACTTGGTAAGGTAAAGTGTTACTTGCATGGGTACGCAGATGCCAGCCAAAAGGCATACTGTGCGGTCGTATATTTTAAGACAGAGCTAAACGGTGCCCACCACGTAGAGTTGCTTACATCGAAAACAAGGATAGCGCCAATAAAGTTGCAGACATTTCCCGGACTAGAAGTGATGTCAGCTGGAATATTAGCACAGTTGATGGACACAGTGAAGTTGGCCTTAGAAGGTTACGTTCAATTTAATGCTCATAATTATTGGTTGGACAGTATGACTGCATTGTGCTAGATCGGTAATAGGGGAGAATGGAAACAGTTTGTGTGCCATAGAGTTAACGAGATTTTAAGATTGAGCAGGAAGGATGACTGGAAACATTGTCCGGGTGTAGACAACCCAGCGGACTTAGGTTCAAGTGGAGTTACGTCATCACAATTAAAGGAAAGTGAACTTTGGTGGAAGAGCCTGAAGTGGTTGTCAGGTCCGCATTGTGATTGGCCAATGCCAAAAGAGGTTAAAACTACAGAGAAAAGTCTTGCGGAAGTCGAGAAGACAGTATTGGCAAACACACAGGTGGTAGATAAAGATTGTGTGATAAAATTTGGCAAATTTAGTAATATAAAGACACTAATAAGAGTCATAGCTATCATTGGGCAATTTGTAGACAATTTGAAGGCAAGAGTTAAACTCGGGACAAAGAGGACTAAAACATTGGAAGTGTCAGATTTAGAGCTAGAAGCTAGAGAACCAATTTTATTGCCTAAGGATCATCACTTAACCGAATTAATTATTAAAGATTGCCACAGGAAGGCTCATCATAGTGGGGTAAGAGCGACCTTTGTTCAGCTACGAGGCAAATAATGGGAAACAAAGTAGAGAGATCGTGAAGAAGGTGTTAGGAAATTGCAGGATTTGTAGAAGACATCAAGGAGAGGCTTATAAAACACGAGTGCAAGCAGATTTAGCAGATTTCAGGGTTCAGTATTCACCACCCTTTTCTAAAGTAGGAGTAGATTTTTCTGGTCCATTGTTTGCAAAAGAAGGTGGACAGATAGTAAAAGTATACATCGCATTATTTTCCTGCTGTGTTACAAGAACAAATTGTCTTGATTTAGTTGATAGTTTAAGTGCACGTTGTTTTTTGAATTGTATGCGAAAATTTACTGTTAGAATGGGAGCACCCTCGCTAATAGTTTGGGACAACGCCAAAACATTTAAACCAACTGAGAAAGAGTTGAAGGGGATTTATGAAATTAAGGAAGCAAAATCATATTTGGAAGGAAATCGGTTGATATGGAAGTTTAATTTGGCGAGGACACCCTGGTGGGGTGGATTTTCTGAAAGAATGGTAGCATTGGTGAAAGGCTGTCTGAAGAAGATGTTGGGTAGCGCTAAATTGAACGAGGAAGAATTGTTAACAACATTAGTTCAGGTACAAGGTACGTTAAACTCTAGACCATTGACTTATGTGTATGAAGATGAAGTGGATGTAGATGTACTGACTCCTGCACATGTTATGTTTGGAAGAAGATTAACATCTATTCCTGACAAAAGAATTATGCATACTATTAATGACGAAGATGCAGGAGTGGTCAAGCGTAGGTTTAGGTATTTAGCGAGATTGAGAAAGCATTTTTTGTCCAGGTGGAGGAAGGAATATTTAACAAGTGTAAGTAAGTGTCAAAAGGTTGGCAAAGTAAAGTGTAGTTGGTGTCCAAATGTAGGTGATGTAGTTCTTGTGTTTGAGGAAAGTTTGAAAAGTGGATTTTGGAAAATAGCAAGAATTGAGAGATTGATCAAGGGAAAAGATAATATAGTCTGAGGAGCGCAAGTCAAAGTTGTTAGCAAGGGAAAGCCACTGCACATAAGCAGGCCTCTTCAGAAACTGTATCCACTAGAGATGAATGCAAAGGTAAGTAAAGAAAAGTCAGCGTCCTACATGTGGAAAATACAATCATGCTATTCTCCCAATACTTTTGAACAGGTTTTACTGTTTTCTTACCATGCAGCTTATGGTCAATAGTTAAAAAGTTGGTATATCAATTTAGATATGATTTCTCATGCATGTTTATCCATACTTCATCTAGATATTTCCTTAGCTAATTTATTAGGTCCGTAATGTGGATATAAATCTCGCTTTACTGTTATAAAATTACCTTTGTTGTAGAAGTAAGACTTCATATCTGACGACCTTTACGTCCAAATTAAGCTTGCTTCAGTTCTTTACATGTCACATACCTAACAAAGGATGAGAGATTTATTAAAAAGAACGCGACCACATACATATCAGTTTAAAAATGGTGACCATAATTCATACCTTATTGTTACATCGATCTTTTATCCATGTGAGTTTTGTTACATAAACAAATTTAAATAGTGAACGAAAATGAAGAGTGAGTCAGGATCTCCTTCAACAAACAGTATTATAAAACATTAATGACATCTACGTAGAACAATCTAGTTATATAACTAAGTATACATCACTGACTAAAAACAATTGTTATAGAAGTAAAAATACATCAATAAGAACCTCATGCAGAGTACATAATAACATTGAGATTAGTCAAATTCCAAAGGACTACTGCTAAATCTTATAAAGTTTTAGAAGTTTTAACTGAGGAATAGAGAATCGTCTATCTAAAACAAGATGCCAATGATTAAGGCACGATTTTCGGAACTGTGAATGGATTTTTTTCCTTCATTAATGAAAAATTCCATACATGTATATTATTGCAAAAGTCAGTTCTTATTATAAAAATCCTTTGTTATTAAATAACCCATTTTAAATTACGAATACATGGCAAACATCAACTGCACGCAATTATAATTACTTATGATCAATAAAGAAACTGTGGATACAACAGTAAAGGTTGCAATGAAAGTAAACCTTAAAACTGTTAAACATGATCAAAAGTATATTTTTAAAAGCTCACTGTGTTGCATGAATCAACATTTCCCAAAAATAGATTCGGTTGCGTCTTTCTCTGTGTAAATACATTCTTCCTGTGTTCAACATTTGCTTATATTACAAATGTTCTTACTTTTAAAATGAAAGGTTTGCTTAATACAATTAACAGCATTTTGTTAGACACACAGCGATTAGTCAGAAGTGGCGTCGGCAAAAAATGGAGGTGATGCATGACTGGACATGCTATCCCCCTACATAAATTTTCACAGATTCCCCTTTTTTCCATAGACAAGTATAGTTTATATAGAAAAATTCAGCGTCCTACTTGTAGGAAATGTTCTCATTTTTTTCTACCTCCCCCATACTTTTGAACAGATTTTATTGTCCTTTACCATGCAGCTAATTGTCAATAGTTAGAAAGTTGGTGTATCAACTTAAATATGATTTCTATTGAATGTTTAGTCATACATTATCGAGATGCTTCAGTAGCAAAGTTGTTATGTCGGTAATGTAGACACTAAGTTTTAGGCTCATAAAGACGTATAGCAGAGGCAGAGGTCTCAAGTGTTGTAGTACGTGATGTACCAACAGTTTCGGTGGAAGATGAACCACATTCACATAATGAAAAAGGTATATGACACATGCAGTCAAGATGATCTCAACCAAACAATTTAAATTTGTTTAGTTATTTGATAACTTGAATTTTAACATATGGAAAAGACACAGAAATGAAAGATTTCTGCTTTCAAACACCTTCTTCACCTTCAAATGTCACAAGTAGAAAAAAAATCAAAGGAGAATGCTGAGTAAAGCAGCAAGTAATTGCAAGGCTTAATACAAAAGTTAGAAAATTTGCCAAAAAGGACACATCAACCAATCAGTCAATTTATGCTGAATTGAAAAATTTACCAAATCAACTGTCTAATTTTATAGAATTGCAACTGAAGTTACATTCAACAAAAAAACATGGAAGAAGGTACTCACCAGAAATGAAGTTCTTAGCAGTTTCATTGTATCATGCTAGTGGCAAAGTGTATAGCCTCCTCTCCAAGCTGTTTATTCTGCCAACAAAGTCTTCAATTGGACGGTTTGGAATTTCACGAATTCCAATAGCATCTGGTATTCCTCAGGCAACCTTAAATCTGTTGAAAGAAAAAGTGTGTTACATGAATGATATGGAAAAGCTGTGCACTCTTTGTGTTGATAAGATATCATTAAAAACACACCTTTACAACAACATCACAGACGATAAGATTGTTGGAGTAGAGGACTTTGGTGGATATCGAACAAACAAAATGGCAACATCAGGTCTTGTATTCATGCTGCGAAGCATCGCTGGAGGTTGAAAGCAACCTTTGGGGTATGTACTTGTTAACGAATCTTGTCCAGTTGATGTTTTGCAAGATTTGATCAAAGAAGTCATTCGCAGCTTCATTTGATTGGGTTGAACATTTGTGTGGTAATATCAGATATGGGGTCCAACTTCTACAGTATGTCACAAGAATTGAATGTCACCAACGAGAAGCCATGGTTTGTTCACAATGGAAGAAAAATATTTCTAATGTTTGATCCTCCACATCTGCTCAAGTGCACAAGAAATAACCTCATGAACAGCACCTTTCAATTTGGAAAATATTCGGCTTGCTGGAAGGACATTAAAAATTTTTATGAGAGAGATAAATCTCTATCAATTAGAGCAGCTCCTTAATGATACTTAACATTTTAAAAGGTTTGGTTGACATTCTTCACGAATAGAACCGAATAACATTAGACGATTGTCAAAGTAAATATTAGTTGAAACTGGTGTCATAACAAATTATATTTGTAAATTTAATGAGTGTTTATTAATCACATGTTAGTTCTGAATGCACATTTCACTGACGACGTCTTTGTTATTTTAGGTTTCAAGTTTGTTCCCGACTCCATAACAGGTAACAAGCAGACACTAACAGGGCATCGAATTTTGGAGGCGTTTAAGTTCGGGTATGCTTATCGTCCGTTCATTGGTGATCGAGAATTTTATCCTATTGTTGAAAAAGTACCTTTAAGACAATAGAAAAACATTATTTTGTGTAGGTAGTGATAAACGAACGAAAGAGAAAATAATACAGTTTTATTAACCCCAGAAATCATGAAAGTAACAGTCGATAAAGTAAAAACTCCTTATATCATATAAAATATAACCATGTTTACTTTCTTAGTATAATATGAAACATACTCCGAATAAAAAGTTCATGTTTAACTCAATATGTGAGGAAAAACAAGTCAATTCTATGTAGACTCTGATGATGAATTTATAATAAATTCGAAATATTACTGTTAAAATAAAAAATTGTCCTGTTTTTCTTGTCTTGAGTTTTTTTCTCTCAAATATTGAATTAAACATGAACTTTTCATTCGGATTATGTTTCATGACAATATTCCAGAGTCTGTTTTTATTGGCTTGAAGGATCTGGGACACAAAATGAAAGAATCACGATGATTCTCTGTCGTTCAAGGAATTTATAGAACTAAATCGGGATACCTATTGGCAAAATATGTTCCAAGAAAAGGTGCTGTTGCTGTTGTTTTGCCGTAACAATAACGTTGATTAATTAAGGAGGGATGAGTGAATAAAGGAGAGATAGTTAAAGAAGCCCAAATCTTATAGAATCTTTTGCGTGATGTCTTTGATTGAGACTGTGAGACTCGATGCATTCTGTAATAATAATATAAATATCAATTTCTACATAGTAATATTAATATTTAGTTTTTTCACGAAATTTGTTTTATAAATGTCATTTTATAGTATTTTTTAGTTAACGTGTTGACCTCAAGAAAAACATACATTGAACTGCTCTAAATAATAATAACATATATTTGCTTGTAATTTTTCAAATAGCATCCTTCGTGTTCTAGTTGATTTGTTTTCTTAGTGATGCTTCACAATGTTAGATACAAAAATGTCGACAAAAAAAGTAGACAAGTAGACAAAAACTTACATAAGTGGCATTTGTTCACCAGTGGGCTATAAATGGAACATAAATGCTACTGTAAATATTGTGTTGACAGTCGGCGGTAGGCAGGGACAATGGGTGCAACATTTTATTAATAATCTTGAAGAGATATATCAAGAAACCAAAGATGAATTCCTAAAGGTTATCATTATGCATTTTCACACTAAAGATATCGATATCAAACATGCTTTGGAAAAGAGTCGAATAAGCGATTTGTATTGCTCCACATGACGTCTAAATTTCATAAATCAATTGGTTACACTATGCTATGACTGTGGTGACAAATCCAAATGATATTGTATTTGGGTGTGATTTACACTTGTCAATAATCAAATCTTCAGTAAGGTATCAATAATCAAAATAAAATAAAATCTTGCAATTTAAGCCACCAGAAGGAAAACCTCGCCCTTTTTTACAGGGAAACTTTTATTGTATGACGTGTAATTTTGTTACTTTGCAAAAAGACTACATTGATACTCAAAACAATGAATTTAAAAGATCAAACATGGAAAATAATTTTTTCCATTAAAAATCTATTAATCTTCTGGGTTAAAAAGAGACTCATATCATTACTCTAGAGCAGTGGTCTCCAAACTTTACAGCCAGAGGGCCACATGAACTTTCATCCGGCATGTTGAGGGCCGAAGAATATAAAAAATTTCCACGTTATCCTTCAGCTTTTTTAATTTCGCAATGTGCTTGAAACGGAAGTAGTAAGTTGGGAGAAAAATTGACGTAAGCCACTCTTGCTGGTTGGCTTGTGACATAACGTGAACTTTCTGCACAAAGTTTATTTTGTTTAATTATATTATTATTCTTTTTAAGTGCCCCTGCGGGCCGGATTGAGAGGCCCAACGGGCCGCATCTGGCCAGCGGGCCGTAGTTTGGAGACCCCTGCTCTAGAGTATTATCTCCTTTTAGAATTGGTGGCATGGACGTGGAACGATTTAGGCCTTCCTAGGGTGGCAAAGACTGGGACCTAGTAGATAAAATTTTGGCAGACGGCTTGAAAATCGAACGCTTGAAGGTGCTTACATTTTTTCATTTTTATCACACAAAAAAAGGAATGTGGAAAGATTCGGAACAAAATTTGCCATGAAAATTTATTGTCGCATGGAGATTGAAAATTCTTTAAAGGGACAACATATAATGCCGGCTGTAATTTGAATAATAAAATTAAAAAAATACTGACGCAAAAGATGCGCACTTAAGAACTGGGTACAAGTAGGGGACACATTTTTCGCTGAGTGGCGCTTCTGTATGTATCTATTCTGTGGTATGACTAAAGAAAATGAGTTTGACCGAGATTTTAAAGTGATATGCGATCCTTTTTTCTTCTTTATTGGCGCAAATGACGCAAAGCCTCTCCTATAAATTTGTCAACACTACCAGCTGAATTGAATAGCCGTTTTTATTTTCAGCTGTCATCGTAGACATTTATAAAGCGTTTAATCTTTTGTCTGATACAAATTAATTGTCAAATAGAATTTTTTCAAACGACAGTGTGTATTGTATATTGATTGAAAGAGAATTGACATAAACCAGATGAATTCGCTAGAAAGAGGAAGAAATTTAGATAGACCTAAGCTGTGACTATTTTTATCTTCTTTATAAACGTAATTAAAATTATAAACTTCGCATGTCTAAGTAAATCCTACTTTAAATCCTAAGCTAAAATTTTTTACCTTTGATACAGATCTTATATTACATTGATGATATTTATATAAGTTTAAATTATTTGAAGTCACTAATGTTTTCATTGACATAACAGCATTTGTTAAATTAAGCAGATTTAATTACAACTTAGCTGAAATTCGTACTGATGCTTAAAAATTCGTGCGAAGCATTTCAATTGCATTTTAAGTTTGAATAAGTTATTTTTTCAATAAGTATGATTCGTCACAATTTCGTGTTTTCTTACAAAGCAAGTTCGCTTTTGTTGTGTCTTCACATTATACAAAATCATATTGGTATTTTACTTAAACATTTGAAAATGATCATGACATATGATATCATTAAGTTTTCAGACAGAAAATAGGGTCCACTGCTAGGTTTGACTTCACCTTGCTACGAAGAATAAAGCTAATGCTAATTACGTATGCCAATGTTGCTATCGAGAACTCCTTTCCAAAACATTGTAACTATTTGTATTTTTCGTTTGAAGCCACAGTTGATGGCTATCAGTTCAGCTGTCTGATCCAGCAGAGTAATTACTAGGTTACTAGGTCAAAGTTAAACTCGACGTCAACCGCGGTAAGCTGCTGTCAAGCAATGTGACAGAATCATTGGATTTGTTGTTTTGCAAAGTGCATGGAGTGTTATGCAAATTCCTGTAATCATTAGCAAAAATGATCACAAATTTGAGAATTTGCTAAACTTCTTAATTTATGACCAAATTATAAAACATTTACATTCGCTATTTACAAATGTCTATATCAAGAGAACGGTAACCAATGCTCAGCACAGCAGCTTCTTGGCCATAGTTTTATGTCTACAAATACCATGTCGCACGGCTTAAGCAATAACATCACTTCAGATAAGCTTGACGCTGAGAAAGATCACGGTAGAAATGAAAATGGCTGTGATGATGAAAATGAGTCTCCTGATTTGATGCCTATTTCTTTCGGGTACGCTGCGAGAATTTCAAGATTTCGAAATGAATTTGAGGTGTTGCAAATGCTTGGAGAAAGGAGGGTTTGCTTCTTGAACGTTTTTTTTTTTTATGTTACCTTTCCTTTTTATATGTTGCCATGAGGCAGAATTTTTTTTAACCTTTTCAGTATCCTTGGATCTTCTAAATTCTTTTATGAGATAAACATAAAGATAAAATTCAAAAGCAAAAAAACCCCGTTTTCGGTCCATGCTTCCCGATACCTTCTTAAGCATAAGGCACTAGAACGCCGCATGTTAACGTTTCGGTAGGAGATTTCGGCCCCTCCACGCTATCCTACTTGGAAGATGCAATAGCAAGCTTCCGCCCATCAGACACCGAGATCACCTGCGATAGGCTTTGCTCGGGGTACGCAGGGAGAGTGTGGGCTCCTAAGCCACTGCATACTATATCGCACCCAGCTTCCACTGCTAGTTGACATCTACTATATGAAGTTTTAGCTTTATATATATATACCAAAATTTAAACGCGTACGAAAGTTGTGGGATAATTGTTATCGTTACTGAGCATGCCCAGATGATTTCTTTGATAATTTGCGACTAAGTCAGTTAATTGACACAAATGTAGTGCAAGTACATATAATTGGTCGCTGTCATGACTACGAACAATTACTCGAGTGGACTGCGCATTCGCTCGAGCGCATGCGCAGATGATTTCCCTATTAGATTGTTACTAAGCATGCTATCTACTTCAAAATCGTTTCTAGTAGATGCAATTTGTCGTTGCCATGACCATGAACTTGGACAGCTAATCAATACGACCTCGCATGCTCAAGCAAACTGCGCATGCGCAGATGATTTATTAAAACATTTATGTCGAAACGAGCTAATTACTCCTTAATCGATACTAGTACGTACAGTTTAGTCGTTCTCCTTTAATTTGTGACCGAGCGAGCTCTGAAATTGGTGCTTGTATACGCACTTGGCAAATTTCAATAATGTATTTTTGGCATGCTCTTTGTCTTTTTAAGTTGTTTTGACAAATGCCTATCAAATCAGCACATGCCACTCGTACTATTAGTGACAAACAATTACATTAATGACATATATAAGTAGATTATATTTTGAAAAGAAACTTTCAACAATGGAAAAAAATGCATGACAGAGTTTCCAATTACAGTTTCACATAATTCCCATATGTTCACGACGATGAAAGCTCTAGGAAAATGTGGTTCCAGTACAAAACAGAATACCGAATCTCCTGAAGATATGTTCAAGAGAAATCAATCTGATATACTCGTTTGAATTAGTAGTGATATGAATTATGTGACTTACTAAGCGTCATTATAACGACAGATTTGAAAGTGAAGAGGAAGTAATTGCCACAGGAGATTTGCAAAAGATTTAAAGTAAACTCAGCAAACTTTGTATATACAGATGTATTGTGAGAAGAGTACTCTAAGGAATGTTATTGACAAGGGATAGTACAAGGACCAACAGATTATGTGGCGACTTCCTCACGAGATTGTGGAAGGATTAGTTCACGTTCATTCTCTGGTAGAAACTTTCGATTATTTTATGTGTTAACTGCATGCATGTGTAACTAAACATGACAAAAATGTGAGCAATTCACGTTTAGGACAATGAATATATATATAAAGACTTACTATTTGCTAGTTTTCATTAATTTTTTTCAATAAAATAGGGTATGATTCAAATAAACGCGTTTAGACATTTTTGGTTTTCTTTTGTTAAATTTTTAAGGTTCTTTTTTAAAAAGTTAAATAGTATGAAGGAAAAAGAGTTTGGTCTTTGGATGCATTGA